AGAGTCAAAAAACAAACGAAAAGCAACAACAAATAATGGAAAGATCGTCACCATACTATGTTTTGACAATTTCTGTGCATTCCTCCTGTTGAGGAACAACGCCCGACTTGATGCGAGTCCCGCAGGCCGTGGTGGGCTCTGTCGGCTCGCTCGCCTCGCGGTGGCGGCCTGGCCCGCGTCCGGCAGCACCTGCTGCAGAGCCGAGTGCCTCCCTCTGTCTGTCATCTGCTCCGCTTCCTACGGTCAGAACGTTCAATGAGGATGCGCGGTAAGGATGCAAGGGCCTTGTGAGGCCACGTTCGCGTTCTTCAAGCGGAGTGGCCAGCGAAAGGGATGGGCCGACGAGGCAAGGATGCAAGGATCATCTTCGAAAATTGCTCATCCTGACTATGCGCTTTGACTGTGCTACTCTGTTCTGACAGTCGTTTTGCACTTGCTCTATGCGGTCTACTGTTCCCTGCTGGCTTCTTCGCTTTTTGGAGGCCTCCCAAGTGGGGCTGGAACAAATGGGGTCGGAGGATACCGTCGCATTGCCGATACATCGGAGACGTCGGGATGGGTAACATTAAATTCCATATCGAGACGCATCGCCGATCAATTGGCGATGCGGTGCGATCCTCCGCCCCCATCTGCTCTGGCCCCACGTGAGAGGCCGGGACCTTTGCATGTGTCCAGCCACCACGCGGTAGGCAGAGTGGAGCGTCCTCAGGCCCCTTCGAATTCTCAGTACGGAATATCGGGAATACTCTGCAGATGCCCAGGACCCCAAGAGTTCTGGGCGCTCCTGGGCGCTTCCAGGGATCGCCGCGTAACTTTGCCAGAGGCCAGAGGGCCGTGGTTGAGATCCCACGCTTCCAACATGGCCTGCGATGGTCACAGGGACCGTCCTGAAGCCTCCTTGGACGCCTCTTGGGCCAACTTGGAGGCCCTGGGGGTCAGGTCAAGAGGCGCAAGCCATAAGAACACCTCAAATTTTCCAATGAATTTTGCCTCCATTTTCGCCTTAAGACCGTCCTTGACGGCCCAAGAGGCCTCAAATGTCGCTCCAGGATGTTCCCCCTCAAGAGGCCCCCAAAGAGCCCCCCGGAGGCCGCAAAAGGCCTCCAGATTGCCGCCGAGACGCAGCACAAAGCATCCCAAAGGCCCCACGAGGCCTACAAAGTAGCCCCAAGAGGCCTCTTAGAGATCTGTTGCCAACGACCATGCAGTGGTGGGTTAGGCAGAAAGCCAGTATATAGCTGCTCTGTCGAATATCCACACATATCTCTCTCTCTCTCTCTCTCTCTCTCTCTCTCTATATATATATATATACACACTCATACGTACAAGACTGCATTGGCGCTTCGAGCCATGCACCTTGGTCCTTGAAGTTTGGCATGCAGGCGCAAGGGCAGGAAGGTAAAACATACAAATTGGCGATATCTCCTTGTTGCCTTTTCCGACATCGCCGCTGTAATAATGTTATTCATCAAGATTCCCTCATGCATCCGCTTCCTCTTCCTCATTCTCGCCCTACCCTGCGAATTCTTCCCCATCCTCCTCGGCTCTTTTTGCGGAGGTTCCTCCTTGTGCCTCTTGGGGTGCCCGAAAGTTTTTGAAGGCTTCTTGGGGGGTTCCTCGGGCCACCCTGCTTCCAACCTTGGTCTCCCTGGACACCCAGGTCACGATTTGGAATGCTTCGGGGGGCGGCTTGAGGCTATCTTGGGCTGTCATGGGGCTCTCTTCGGGCCATCTTGGACGCCTGTTGTGCCGTCTTGGGGCTCTCTTGGACTGCCTGGGATAAATTTTGGGGCGATTTTCAAGCCTCTTGGGCGTTCTCGGGCGCCCAGGGGACCGAAACACACAGCACTCCCCAAATCATGCAAAACCGAAAAACACTCATGTTTTCTATGTTTCGAACACTTTTTGAAAGTTTTCTTTGGGTCGTCTTCGGGCGTCTGGTGGGTGTCTGGGGCACCACGGGGCCCTCGGGGTGCAATTCGGCCGCTCTGCTGACCGGTTGGGGCTCGTTGCCTAGGCCGAGCGGGGTCTTCCAGGAGCTCCGGGAAGCCTGGAGGCCCTCCTGCAGGGGCGTCCAGGGAGCCCCCGGAACCACAGATCTGGGGGCTCCCGTTTTGGGCGGGGAGGGTTTTCCCACCCCCCCGGCTTGTAAACATAAAGAGGAGGGTGTGTGTGTATCTATCTATCTATCTATCTACATATAGGTACATATATATATATATATATATATGCCGCTGCTAACCTCTCTGGTCCTCTCTGTGCTGCGGTGGAAATTTAATTCCCTTGATTTTCATATTGGCGTCGCCCGTGGCACACAGAAATGGGCGTGCGTCTGGTGACGCGCATTCACTTGTTTGGCATTCGGGCCATGACGGTTGAACTAGCGGTTTTCTATTTGGCCATCCTCATCGTGCCCATGGTCACGTCTGCTGGAGGTCGCCGGTGCGATGGTGATGATCACGGTGATTATCATGATGCCTGACACCGCCGCAACATCTTTCATCCCCTCTCTCTGGCTCTTCCGCTCCATAAAACGCAAAACAAAAATTGACACCTCATGCTCGGCAGCGTGGCACAAGCCAGCACGACGTGAGGGCCGTGCTCTACCAGCAGGCCGATGCCGGGGCCGCGGATGCGGGCGCGGCGCACGTGGTTCTCCCACGTCTTCATGTTCGTGTCCCTGGCAAGGGGTATGTAATGTGTGATGGGGGCGAGAGGCTGTCACAGATGGCAAGTAATGGGCGCGCGATGGTGAGTTGATCAGGTGAGGCAGAGGAAAGGAAGGTGAACGTGGAAGCGCGACAACAGGCGAGTACGTGTGTATGCGTGAGCAAGAGACAAAGCGAGTGGGAGAGAGAGAGAGAGGGAGAGACAGATAATAACGATACATAGTGAGGGAGAACAGGGGACACACACATGTATGTTTGTAAATATATAATGTAGCCATGTAGATGTATGGACTAACAATAGTCTACAGATGCTACTGTACATATTGATGTAACTATATGTATGTGTATATATACGTGTATATAAGACTGCATTGACGGTTCGGGCCATGCACATTGATCCTTATAGCTTTGCAGATGATGGCCCTTCGCTTCATCCTCTTTGGCTTTTGAATTGTGGCCGTATCCCTTCGGATTTCGTCCTTCGTCCAATTTTTCTCAACCATCCTGTGTTGTTGGGTCCTCGTTTTGAAGAGACGGTGCCCCGCGTTCTCCTTCCTCCTTCCTCCTCTTCCTCTTCCTCCTCTTCGTCCTCCTCCTCCTCTTCCTTGCCTTTGCTCTCCGCATGTCTCTGTTTCGGCACACCCCTCACACGTTTCGTGGCCCCATACAAAGCCGTGACAAAAGTTTCTTCAATTTGCTATGATGAAGATCTCTCCCATCCCTCTCAAAATTCCTAACATGACATGAAGCTGGGATCATTCGGCGGAGTAGTTTCCGATCCTGGGGACGTTAATAACTCTGTTACCCCAAAACGGGATCGGAAACTACTCCGCGCCAAACCATACACATCATCGAGCGGGATGCGATTGCGCGCGGAGTAGTTTTAGTAAAACTACTCCGAACTACTCCGCATGAGCGCGTCATTCCAAAAGGCAAATTAAAAGAAACTTTCGTCACGGCGATGTAGGGAGCTCCACCTAAGGTCCCAATGGCGCAATTCGCATGGCGCCGCCGCCCCATTTTGGCACACCCCTCACACGTTTCGTGGCCCCACAGGGAGCTCCACCTAAGGTCGCATTGGCGCAGTTCGCATGGCGCCGCCGCCGCATTTTGGCACACCCTTCACACTTTCCGTGGCCCCACAGAGAGCTCCACCGAAGGTCCCAGTGGCGCAGTTCGCATGGCGGCGCCGCCCCATTTTGGCGCACCTCTAACACGGTTCGTGGCCCCATAGGGAGCTCCGAAGGTTGCAGTGGCGCAGTTCGCATGGCGCCGTCGCCCAATTTTGGCACACATCTCACACGTTTCGTGGCCCCACAGGGAGCGGCGCCGCCGCCCCATTTTGGCACACCCTTCACACGTTTCGTGGCCCCACAGGGAGCTCCACCGAAGGTCGCAATGGCGCAGTTCGCATGGCGCCGCCGCCCCACTTTGGAACACCCCTCGCACGTTTCGTGGCCCCACAAGGAGCTCCACCGCAGGTCCCATTGGCGCAGTTCGCCTGGCGCCGCCGCCGCATTTTGGCACACCCTTCACACGTTTCGTGGCCCCATAGGAAGCTCCACCGAAGGTCCCAATAGCGCAGTTCGCATTGCGCCGCCGCCCCATTTTGGCGCACCTCTCACACGGTTCGTGGCCCCACTGAACACCGAAGGCCCCAGTGGCAGGGTTCGCATGGCGGCCCCGCCCCATTGTGGCGCACCCTTCACACGGTTCGTGGCCACATTGGGAATTCCCCTTGCTTCGTCCCACCTGCCCTGCGGGATTCACATTTGCATATGGTTGGGTCCTTCGCCAGGATAATTGTTGCTTTCTTCCTCGCTCTACGGATACCTGCGCCACCAGGGCTTTTCTTCAGTCGCTCTGCTGTGCTCCGAAATTAGAGGCGGACCCGACCACGTGGCGACGAGAACGCCACTGGAGGCTCTGAGAGAGCGGGAAGCAGTCTAAGAACATAGAGCGTCGAACCTCGAACCTACATCCTGGGGTTCTCTTCGAACTCTCCTGGGGCGTCGTAAGGGCCTCTCGGGACGTCTTGAAATCATCTTGGGCGTTTTGGAGCGCCCTGGGGCCGCCCCGGAGTGTTTTTTGCGTCGTCTGGGCTCCATGAGCTATTTTCATAGCGGGGACTCTGATGAACGAACAGCCGCGCGTCCTGGCGTTCAGGTGAGCGGCCACACTCGACCTTGGAGAGGAAAGGGATCAAATAACAATTGTGCGCTGACGCAAAGGCGCCGGCCAAGACTCCGAGGCTGCAGCTGAAAGGTTCCGGGGGGCGAGGAACCACAGAAGCGAATGTGTAACGTAAAGTGCGGAGCCCAAGGGGCTACAAATCTGAAATCACCAAGGGGCGACAAATCTGAAATCACGTGCAAGCGCAAAGAAGGACGCCACGAGCTATTTTCATAGCAGGGACAAACAGCCAAGTCGAACACCGATTCGCTCACTGGACGGGCATGTCAGGGCCATTAGAAGCGAACGCGCGCCACTTACTCGAAAGAGCTTTGGCAAGCTTCGTCTTGAGGGGAATAAGTTAGCTAGCGGCGATAACCGCCCATTTTGCACCATTAGGGCGTTGCCCTCGAACGCAAGATGCCGACGGACGCTCTTCGCACAAATACCATTGATCTGATTGCACCGTCCATCAACGCAGCTACTTACTGTCTAATGGGTCGACGCTGCGACGCGAGAAACGAATGCATGTGCGCCAGGTTGTCCCCTCTTAACACTGGTCTAAGCACCTGGCGGGGCCCCGCCGCTCTAGCACCCCCGGACATCTCTCGTTACAAAGACACGTTAACTCATGGGATGTTCAAGGACGCAGGGACCTTTGAACTTCTTACAACATCTCAGAACGGCCAGTGCGGATCGCATGGTCTGGTTTCCACATGACAGACGGGCCTGCGGCCGCGCGGTGGGGCCAACATCACAGCCAAGACGAGGCCCTTCGCCATGTTCGAGTACAAACCTCTCAGGACTGAGCGCCTCGTCAGGTCGCCCTCCGGCCCGTGCGGCATATCCCAGAACCTGACGGGCACTCCATAGGCCATCGCGGCCCCGCCGACTCCTCCCTTGTCGCTGAAGCAGGCGGCCAGGTAGCGGCCTCTCAGACGTGGTTGAGATCCCGCAGGTCGACTGGCGAGGCGCGCCCCAACATAATGTCCTTGAGCTGAGCTTTGCAGACCAGGAGCATGTCTTGCTGGGCGCAGAAGAGCGTCGCCAAAGTGGCCGCCAGCCTGGCGTGCTTCTCGTGCCGTGCGACGTTCCGCGTGGTCTTCCATTGACCTCGCTTCTGGACCTCGCCCAGCCGTCGCCACTCCCTTGCCGTGCCTATCGAGGCGCCCGACTGGCGGATCTGGCACGGGACCACCTTGGACCGCGCCCTTGAGTCCCGGAGGCGCAGGCTGAACATCTTGCAGTACTCGGGACAAATGAATTTGCACGGGCGCTCTGCATGGCCCTCCTGCTTCATCTGTTGCAGCATGGGACCCGAGAAGCGGATCCAGGGCGAGTCTAACTCGAGCGACGCGTCGCCCGGGCCCGTCTGGTCCTGGAGATCCCCCTCCTCTGGGAAAAAACCCAGGGCCCAGTGTTGGCAGACGCCAACTGCCAGCGGCGCTGGGCAGGCGTGCTTCAGGAGCAGGGGGCTTCTGGACCGTGCGTGCACGCTCGCTGTCATCAAGGTGAACGCTGCCATCTGATGCCATCTCCAGGCTGCCCGCTCCATCATCCGCCGGACCATGGCGCGCCGCGGCGCCGGCGCCCGTGGCTCTCTCGTCCGCGGGGGCTCCAGGCGTCGCCCGGCCCGGAAGCGTCTCCAGGTCCAGGGGGGGGCGCAGGGCACCGCGGCGGGCGAAGCCCTGGTTGAAGTGGAGCGCGCCAGCCATGAGCCTCTCGGCCAGCGAGACGCGCGCCCTCGCCTGCTACGGCGCGCTGGCGTAGCGCATCGGCACCTCGTCCACCGCTGGGTCGCCCTGCTCTCCATGTCCACCGAGGGCCAGCCCCGGCGGGCGAGGTCCCACTGGCCGCCCCAGGCCCACTGGCACTCGAGCTGCGTCGGCGCCCGCGCCGCCCCCCGCTCCAGGAGCGAAAAGACCTGGCGGGCTCGGCGCTTCTGCGACTGCGCGAGCCCGCGCTGCCGCGCGGCGCAGGTCGCGACCTCGGGCTCGGAGCCCCCGCCGCCTGAGGAGTCGCCGCTCCTGGGCGCCAGCGTCGCGGACGCCGCCGGCATTGGGCCCCTCTGCCAGGTCCTCCACTGCCTGGCCTGAAGGTTGGAGCGACCCAGCGCAGCCTCCGGCGCCTCGACCTCGCCAGCTGCCGCTCGCGGCGGGCCGGCGGCCGCCGCGGGGGCCCCATCGCCCCTGGCCGGGTCAGCTGCCTAAGGCGCCGTCGCCGGCTGGCCGCCTGCCCTGGCGGGCAGGCCCGTGCGCGGAGAGGCGCCAGCTGCCGAACGCGCTGCCGCTTGGGCGCCGACCCGCTGGCTTCGGCCGCCTGCAGAGTCGCCGTCGGCGCCCCGTCAGCGTCGGCGGCCCCGTCGCCGAGGACCCCCCCCGCCTGGAGTTAGTTGCGTTTCGGCCCCAGGACATCCCCAGCTCGAGAGCAGCTCTGCCAGCAACATGCTCTTCGCGCCTTCGGGGTCGAGCGACAGAGAAGGGGGGTCGGCGCAATTGAGCTCGCTGGGGTCCGCCGAATCGAACGGCGGATGTTTCCGCGTAGACAGATGGCGTGAACTCGTCTAATCTGGACAGACATATTGCAACGTGACCTCAGCCCATGATTGAAGCTCAACGCTGCAGACGTGTCGTCGCGTGGCGCGAGCTGGCGAATGCGAGGCCCAAAGACCGCAGTGGCAACGCGATGTATGCTGGCGACTAGGGCACGGGCCTAAGGCGAGGACGCCTTCGAGATGCTGCTGGGCTCGGGCGAAACACGGCCCCCGCAGGCCCGCTCGGAGCCCGCGGGCGGGGGCCTCGGGGAAGTCCTCCGCAACGGCCCCCTGAT